TTCTCTCTCTTTCTCTTTCTATATAATAAAATCTAATTTTTTCTTTTACATACACATATATATATATATATATATATATATATATATATATATATATATATATATATATATATATATATATATATATATATATATATATATATATATATATATATATATATATATATATATATATATATATATATATATATATATATATATATATATATATATATATATATATATATATATATATATATATATATATATATATATATATATATATATATATAATTTTATCATATTTCAAGTATGACAAAAAAAAATTAAATTATTCTAATAATATATTGCACTTAATGGGATTCATGGCACGTCTCGTATTATTTTTTAGAGACATTGATATAAAAAATCAAAGATCGATAAGTAAATATTCATAAATTTTATTTAAAATAGTACAAGTTTTAACCATTTTATTTTATATTTTTATATTAAATATAATATATATCTATAATTTATATAAAATTGTGGAGAATAAACAAAAAAATTAAGGGTTAAGATACATATTTACAAAACCTTTGGGGGGGCCAAAAGTAATATTCAAAAAAATTTATGCCAAAACAGCAAAAAAAATTTTTTTTTTTTTTCTTGGGGGGTCAACTGCCCCCCCTGCCCCTATGTAGTACCGCCCATGCCTCTGCTCATCCTTCCCATCACCACAAATATAGCATATATTTCCCCAAATGGCGGTAAACCTCCAATGAAGTCCATGGAAATCTTGTCCCAATTTTTATTGAGAATGTGAAGAGGTTGCAGAAGACCTGGAGAAGTTACAGTCTCACATTGTTCCTTTGACATACATCATAATTATGAATACATATATACACATCAGTGTTCAACCCTTTCCAATACAACAGTTGTTGGAGAAGTTACAGTCTCACCTTGTTCCTTTAACATGCACCATAATTATGAATACATATATATACATCAGTGTTCAACCCTTTCCAATACAACAGTTGTTTGATCCTAAAGGGTACTGTGAATGTCTGAATGTCCTCTATCAGATGAGCTATGATAGTAGCTCAAGATCTTTTGTTTCAGTGAGTCCTGATTACTCACCATAATTATACCCTTGCTTAGTAATAACTGATTATCCTAGCTAGGGTCGGCATTGATCGGTTTTATCGGCCAACCGATCTACTTTCGACCCGCTTCTTTCGGCCGATAATTTTATTGTCGGGCCGGTAATTTTAACCGACTTATATATACATGAATCGGTCGGTGGTTTTCAGTTTATCAAAAGTCGGTTGGTCGGGTAATATCGGCCAACCGACTTTTTTAATAATTTTTTTATAAACTTTTTTAATAATTTTTTTGATTATAAAGATTTCATTGTAATTCTTATTTTTTTAATGTTAAAATAATAAATAAGAGAGGCAAAAACTTAAAACTCAAAGCACAAATTTATAAACCTCTCCATACTATTTCTATTTTATAATTGTTATTTGATATTCCTCATATATATTTACTTATTGTAGAAGTTTGATAAAAAAAACTCTTAATTTTAAAGTTAAATTTTTTACTAAACATAAGTTTTCCCAAAATATTAAATATCTTTGAAAAAACTTATAAAACTCTTAATACTGTAAAAACAAGGTTAAAAAAAAAACAAGTAACAAAAAACAAATAAAAAAATAATAAAAAAATGAATAGATGGCCGATAATACCAACCAACTACCCAATGTTTACCCTCTAAAGTCGGTTGCCATTATCCGACCCGTAATGATCGGGCCCGTAATGATTTTCAATTTTCAGCAAAATCGGGTGGTTAGGTGGGTAGGTAACTGGCTGATAATTACCCGATTCGACCCATGCCCAACCTAATCCCAGTTATAAGATGGTTTTGAATTAGCATCATTCTGCAGAGTTGTGATATTCTTCTAGAGCTTGAGATCAGTTAGGTAAGTGCCCTTAATCTCCCCTAAGAAAGAACATTGAGCCACTACTATTGTTTGTAATGTAATTCTAGTATTGATTCATGGGGTTGTCTAGGGTCCGAGAGGGTTGTACTTCTCGGACCGTAATCAGCCAATAAGAATATGACACGTAGGATTAGTACGTACCCAGTAAAAAATGTACGATGCCTACCCTATAAATTAAATTACATAAAAACCCCTAAAACTAAAAGTTAATTATAAACTAATAATTAATAACTAAAAATAATTACAAGCAATAATTATCATAAAATATTTAATGTTCCTGCGTTCATCCCTCTGAACCTTTCTCCCTCTCTTCCCGTCTCCTCTCTTCTTCCGGCCGACGATTGAGCCGCTCTCAACATCTCTTCTCCAGGCAGAGACCCTTCATCCACGAAATTCATCTTGAAATTCGATACACCGCGTATGCCAGAGTGTGAGGTGGGTCGCTAAGATTCAACCCTGAAATTGGTAACTATTGGATTTAAACTTTTAGTTTCGATTTGCTTCGTTATATCGTTTCACAATTAAGTTTATTGTGTTTTGAACAAAATCATCGTTTTTTTATTATCACTTTCAAGCCTCTGTAATTCGTTACTTAATTGATCGTGTGAACTTTTGTGATGCACAACAACTGTTTGCTAAAAGTTCTGAATGGAATGGCCATTTGAGTGGGCAAGAGAATATTGGGGTCTGCCTTTCTTGTTCAACTAGTTTAATTGTCTCCATCATTCTTTATCCTCATCAAATACATTGGCCTTGTTGGCCTTCTATTCTCCTTTAACTTTATCATTTTTCCCCTAATTTCCCCTAGAACAAACAATTCTGATGGATTAGGTGATAAAAAATTCCAAGTGACAATTTTTTTATTAGATGATCAAGAAACAGACGAGTACAAAACTGA